ACATATGTATTTTTTGAAGCTACATTAGCAAGACTTACTTTTCAAAAATGCCCACTGTGAATGTCAAAGTATATTCTTAAGTATTTTATACCTAATGTAAATATTTTTTCAGAAGTCTTGTTTTATGTTTGTTAAACTGAGCACAGTCTTTGAGTAATATTTAAACATTACTTTTTGTATTTTAAATAACAATTAAAAAAACACACACAGGAACCAGCTTGAAGGAGTTCCCACTAGCCAAATCTGGGACAATTTGAACATAAAACATACAACCACTAGAGTCCCACGGGGCCTTGCACTCAGAATTTTAATTTTATGCAGTCACTGTCTTGAAATTCTTAATAATTGTATCTTTGAATTTGTTTTTTATAAGTGAAGTCTAATAGTACAATGAAGCATGCTAAGAGCTTGGGGCCTCTGACCACCCATGCGTCTGACTCCTGCTTCCCACTCCCCACCCCCTGATCCCCCATTCCCTGACCAGTTTTGCATTCCCTGCCTTGCTTTAGGGCAGTGACTGGGTCACCTTGCCTGAGGGAGCCTCACATTTCACTATCCCCTTTCATCCTGGCAGCAGCCTAGGCATGGATGGGTGCAAGAGGGGTCAGGGTTAGGCACATGCCCCACAGCACTGTCAAAAAAAAAGGAACCCAGCTGGCTCAGTGGCTCAGCCTGTAAACCCGCGCCTTTGGGAGGCTGAAGTGAGTGAATTGCCTGAGCCCGCGGGTTCGAGACCCACCTGGGCAACTTGGCGAGACCTCATCTCTACAATAAAATAAAAAAATTAGCCGGGTGTGGTAGCGCATGCCTGTAATTCAGGCTACTCGGAAGGCTGAGGCAGAAGGATCGCCGGAGCCCAGCAGGTCGAGGCTGCGGTGGCCAGGAGCGGCCACTGCACTCCAGTCTGGGTGACAGAGTGAGACTCCAGCTCAAAAAAAAAAAGGAACCCAGAGAAAATTGTCTCCCAAAATAACAATTTTCTTTGGGAGTAAGCAGAAAGGATTATAATCTGGGATGCACAAGTATAGCAAGCCACAGATGAATCTGAAGAGGAAAGAGTACAGGGAAGCTTTTATTAGCAAAACAGAGATTTATGTAAGCAGTCTTAAAACAGTTCATTAGTTCTGGAGGCTCCCTGGTATCAGTTAGAAAAAACAGAATTCCAGAACGGCAAAGAGAAATTATAGCAGGGCATAACTGCTACGATAGGAAGCAAAGTGCAACCTGGGTACCTTGACATGCCGGGATCTGTGGTGATAGCTAACAGATCATGATGTTCTGAAGGGTAAGATAGAAGGGGTGTTTCTTGACTTATTATTCCCAAAAGAGAAAGAACTAGTGAGTAGAAGACTGAAGTCAGTCTTCATAATGAAAATCACGGTCCCTCTCCAAGTCACTGATCTGTCACTTCATAGACGAGCCTAATCAGTGAAGAAGCTGTATCCACTTGGAAAGGACATTTCAATGTCACAAAAATATACAATAAACATTCCCCTGCTCCTTTCTCCCAAAGGAACCAAGGCCATTATCAAGGATAAATGTGCATTAGGGAAAAAGAAATACCTAGATTTTAAAGACTGCTGGGTACAGGACCTCAGCTGACACTGGTATAAGATTAGAAATGCCACAGTGGTCCTTCAGTTAAGAGTGCAGATTCATGGGAGGTGGAAGGATGAATGCAGGCTTGGCCTACTGTAATCTAACAAGATCCACTTTGTAGTGTTCTGTTCTCCCCAACCCCGTCTTCTAAGTGGGGCAAATAAAAACTCAGTGGTTGGCAGAGACCTCTCATTGACCTGTGATGTAAAAGCCTTCATGGTAGACTGGGCCAACTGAAAGTCAATCTTCTTCACCAGGCGAAGATAGTAAATTAGAAGCAATTCACGCAAAGAATTGCAGACATTAATGTTATCTTCAAAAATCTGAAGATAAAGAGATGTAGGCCTCTGTATCCCCAATTCAATTCACCTCTCTGGGTCCTGCAATAACTACATGGAAAGCCTGGAGATGGATGGTGGTGATAGGTGCCCAACAACACGAATGTAATTAATGCTACTAAACTGTACACTTAAAAATGCTAAGTTTTGTCATGTATATTTTACTACAATAAAAAACATACATGGATTGTGAACTACCTCAAGTGTAGCTGCTAGTTTGGATGCAGTATCTTTTTTATGACAGCTTTACTGAGAGTCATAGACAATTAAGTTCACCCTTTAAGTGTACAATTCAGTGGTTTTTAAAAAATATTTACAAAGTTGTACATTGATGGCTACTATCTTGTTCTGGAACATTTTAATTACCCTAAAAACCATATCCAATTACATTCTCTATCCCTACTTCATTCAGCCCCTGGCAGTCATTAATCTACTTTGTCTCTATACATTTACCTGTTCTGGACATTCACATATGTCCAGAACATACATATATACTCTAAATTCAAATACCAGCAGACATTTGGTATTTGAATTAAAAGTTTTATAAATATTTTTAAGTACATAGAATACAAAATCTTGGCCAAGCATGATGACTCATACCTTTAATCCCAGCGCTTTGGGAGGCCAAGATGGGAAGACCACTTGAGGCCAGGAGTTCAAGACCAGTCTGGGTAACATAGCAAGACCCTGTCTCTCCAAAAAACTAGTCAAGTATGGTGGCATGTTCCTATAGTCCTGGTTACTCAGGAGGCTGAAGTGGAAGGATCACCTGAGCCCAGGAGTTGGAGGTTACAGTGAGTTATGATTAGGCCACTGTATTTCAGCCTGTGTGATAGTGAGACCCTGTTCTCAAACCAAAAAAAAGGCAAAAATAAATTGTTAAAGGTATTGGATAAATCAATGTATATATAATTTTCACTATGTTCAATCTGTACTATTTAAATGCTCTAATAAACATACAATACTTTTGCAATTTCTTCATCTTCTTTTCTTTTTAAAATTATCCTTGCAGGTTTCCACGTAACATAGCTAGCTAAGTAATAATGAATTTACTTTTTAAGAACATCAATAAGGCCGGGCTCGGTGGCTCAGCCTGTAATCCTGCACTTTGGGAGGCCAAGGTGAGTGAATTACCTGAGCCTGTGGGTTTGAGACCCACCTGGGCAACTTGGAGAGATCTCATCTCTACAATAAATCAAAAATTACCCAGGCGTGGTAGCGCACGCCTGTAGTTCCAGCTACTTAAAAGGCTGAGGCGGAAGTTTCGCCGGAGCCCAGCAGGTCAAGGCTGAGGTGGCCAGGAGTGTGCCACTGCACTCCAGTCTGGGCGACAGAGTGAGACTCCAACTCAAAATAAAACAAAAAAAAAACCTCAATAAAAATATGTTGACTTAGAAAAAGCACTTTGTACGTATGATTACATTTCTAGATCTCACTGAAAACGCAAGCTTAAGATTAAAGGGTGGCTGGGTACAGTGGCTCACGCCTATAATCCCAGCACTTTGGGAGACAGAGGTGAGTTGCCTGAGCCTAGGGGTTCAAGACCAGCCCAGGCAACTTGGCAAGACCTCATCTCTACAATAAATAAAAAAATTTAGCTGGGCATGATGGTGTGTACCTGTATGTAGTTCCAGCTACTTGGAAGGATGAGATAGAAGGATCACCTGAGCCCAGCAGGTTAAGGGTGCAATGGTCATGAACGTGCCACCGTCCACCAGCCTGGGCGACAGAGTGAGACTTCAACTCAAAAGAAAAAAAAAAAGACTGTTAGGGGTAAAGCTTTCTTAGCAACTTCAAAAAAATCATTTATATGAATAATAGCTTCATAATAAATTAATGACTCCCTTATCACTATTATTAATGCAAATTTGCCTAGTGGGTTAAACAAACAGATCTGTTTGCCATACTATATAACAACATCTACACTTTCTAAAACCTCAATTTGACCTGGGTCATCCCAATTCTCAACTACTCCTCCATTCTGCCTGGCATGAGAAAGAGGCTGGAGTTGAAAGACTGCTGAAATATAATAACCCTTTGTACTCAGATGTCCCTTCTGAGAAGACATCATAAATCTAGCAAACAACTCAGATGTCTCCTCTCAGTGAACATAAAGAAATTGCTGGTGATTGTAGTGTGGACAAGCTTATACCAGCGCAAATTTTTCAAAAATGTATGCTTCCTTGAAATTTTCCATTCAAATTGCATAAAAAAGCAAATAAAGAGTTGGAATATATACTGAGAGATGACTGATCAGTTGAGAAATGGTTTCAGGAATCCCAAGTGTGTCATTCCACATCTTCTTCAAACAACAGACTGGACAATAAATTATATGTTATTAATGTAGGAGAAAGAAAACAAGACTGCATTGTCTGCTCGAGTAGAAAAACACCAGCAGAAGATATCAAACAAACTACTGTACCACATGTATCAATAAACCTGCAATGCATGTTGGTGGCTGTTTCACATGTAACCACATTAGAAAAACATAAGATATAAAATTTTGATTTTGTCTCATAAATAAGTTCCTCAATGTCCAAAATTCCATTATAAAACAAATATTACAATAAAATAACTGGTTCCAACACTATACTATTTAGTATTAAGTGATTTGTTGTTCACTATTTCATAAAATAGTGTGGTCGGTTTGCTGGTAGGTGATCCACGCAATGTCTCTGAGCACAAAGGGGTAAACCAGACTAAATGTAGGCTAATTGAGGGGCTTTCTGCCCGAGGTAGTCTACTTTGGTTCACTTATCTACAAACACTACCGTAAATACCATTCCCAATTACTTTATACACACCTAGACTGTAACCTTATGACACTGCATATGCTGCATTCTAAAAAAAAAAACCCTGACTAGAAAATAAAATATTCCTAAAATATTCATATTTGTTTAAGAAGAGATTACTAATCTATCCTGGTGAAAAAACATAAAATGACATAAAAAGTACAGTAAACATTAACAGTACTAGTTTAAAAAAATCACTTAAAATCACTATTCATGACTTATTTAGTTTAAAATAAATCTAAGTTTTTGGTAGATTATTTATAGTTATGCATAATTTCAGTGGAATTTTAATCAATCATTACAGTTCAACTCCATGTAGTATTAACTTTTCTTTTCTGTTTCCTGTGCCAATTTCAACTCTTCTTTTATTCCCTTCTGATCTCTGGAATACTGTTCAAATATTGGTTGATAAATATAGATTCCTCCAGCAATTCCAAGGAAAGTAGCAAAAAGCAGTTGTGGAAGAGTCAATCTCCCAAACATCTTGATAACAAACACAGCACAAGGTAAGGGTGGTTTCGGAAAGTCACACTCCACATCCAGGAAATCTCTTCACATCTGTGTACAAAGAAAATGGGAAGCAAAGCCATAACTCAGTAAATGTCCTTTAAAAGATGTCATATCACTATGCACTGAAGTGAACAATATTTTTATATTACTAATATAGAAATAGAAACATAGGGAGTATGGGAAATGAGGGTTGGGATGGTATAAGACAAGGCTAAGTCATTTTCTATTGCAGATTGTTCTCAATGGTTTTAAATGGATAATTCAGAAAATGGCAAAAACGAGGGGAGGACAAGGCATACTCTTTATGCCTTTAATGTCATACCATAAAATCAACTACTAAAAAGAAGCAGCCAAACTAAGTCTAAAGGGATCGCCTCCAAAGACTCTGATCTGGAAGCAGGAGAAAGGCAGGGAGAGAAACTTAATTTTTCCTTTCGTACTATCCATGCTTCTCTAACAATCTGTACGATAAAAATAACAATTTTAGAAAATAGGCTAAAAGGTTTTATGAGTTCCCTTTGCTACCTTAGTAAGTACAAATAGATATTAAATATACACTTGCCATCTATTTTTGACAAAAATGTAAGTAGAGATTTGGCTGGTTTTGCTTTTAACAATTGAGGAGTTAAGACCTTAGTACTTTCCAGAAAGCAATACTCTTTGCCAACACCTTAATCTCTGGAGAAACTAAGTCTAGACGTTTGTGAGTGAGATAAGCACAGTGAAGGATTTACATGTTTCCTTAAGGATACCAACACTTTACGGCCTCTTAAACTAGCACCCAAATGCATAAAGGTCATTAGTAGCAGAACCGGTACAAGAAACTAGCGTGCCCTTAATATCCTTGGAATGTAATTTAAACTAAACGGGGCAAGAAAAGAACCCTGTTTTTTCTGGACGCTATGACTGATCAGGTAAATGACTTCACCAACCTTGATCTGGTTCAATGACTTTGTTAAAAAAAAAAAAAAAAAAAAAAACACAGGAACCATGTGAGCCTTATTTCCTACATCTGTACAACAGGCTAAATCATCCCGACTCTGCCTACCCCGTTCCACATGCATTTTCTGTCAGGTCATCAAAACGGGGAAATGTTCCACCCACATTTACGTTTTTTTTTTTTTACCTTTACCACCGTTAATACTCCCAGGCCGCTCCGAGGTCCTAATCCCGCCTCCCGCTGCCGCCCGCAGAGGACAGCTCGGCTCCTTCCGGCAGTGTCCGGGTCCCGGAGCACAGAGAACACAAAGCCAAAAGCGAGCGGCAATCCCGCGGTTCGGAAATGCAGAAGAGAAAGCGTAGGCGAGCCCGTGGCAAAGCGTAGAGACGAAGACCAGCCCAGGAGCTTTGGACGGCGGCGACCACCTCGCGGAGTTTGCGAGAGCGAGGAAATAACGCTTTCCGGGCTACTTCTGCGCCTGCGCGCGACGGCTGCTCGCAAAGGCCAAACTTAGTGGGTGAACTAGCAGCGCGCGCTGCCGCAGCGTCCTTCCGCCCCAGTCGAGTAGCGGACGGGGATCGGCAGCGCACCTTTGGGCTGGTACGGAATGGAGCGCGAGGGCAGCGATGGCCGTCTTGGCTTACGCGGCCTCCAGAACCGCTCTGGCGAGATTAAGCTGCGAAAGAGAAAGTCTACCTTGTACCTCAGCACCCAGGAGAAGAGCGCAGGACGCCGCGGGGGTGAGTGAGGGGCGCGGTCTGGAGAGCTTTTCCCCATGTGAAAGGAGCACCCCCCATTTCACTACCAGCAACCGGTTGTTGCCAGTTGAGCTCTGTGTTGCTGGATGTTAAGAGTTTTGAAATTCTGGAAATACAGGTTTTTATGTAAATTCTGATTTTTAAATCTTGGCACCTAAAATCAATGTTTAAAAAGTACTCTGTTAGCCGGGCGTGGTGGCGCACGCCTGTGGTTCCAGCCGCTTGGAAGGCTGAGGCCGAAGAATCGCCTGAGCCCAGCAGGTAGAGCCTGCGGTGGCCGTGAGCAGCGTGCCACTGCACTCCAGCCTGTGCGTCAGAGTGAGACTCCGACTTAAAAAAACAAAACAAAACTCTGTATTCAGCCTAAGGGCTGTCCACTTGTAGCTAAGAAGAGGACTTTGGAGTCAGTAGACAGACCTGGGTCTGAAACCTATTTAGACATTTACCATTGTTTACTGGAGTGCAGTGGCCGCTCCCGGCCACCGCAGCCTCAGCCTTCCAAGGAGCTGGAACTACAGGCGCGCACTACCACACCCGGCTAATTTTTTTATTTATTGCAGAGATGAGGTCTCGCCAAGTTGCCCAGGCAGGTCTCGAACCCGTGGGCTCAGGCAGTCCACTCACCTCAGCCTCCCAAGGCGCGGCATTACAGGCTGAGCCACCGTGTCCGGCAGCAGTTTAATTTCTGAGCCTCGGTTTCCTCATAGGTAAAATGGGGCTATTAGCACCCCATAGCATTGTTTTGAGAGGGAGAGACATGAATTGTCACAGTGCCTGGCACATAGTAAGCATCAATAAGGGATATTTTAAAATGTACTAAGGACCATTTTATACAAGGGAGGACCCCTAAAAAACTGAAGTTATCTTTTGGAGGGCAGGCTCCTTGTACAGGCTTCCTCTGCTGAGTACGTGTTCTAGGAACCCATCGGCATTAGCGTTGTTGTGAAAGGCTGCGTTTGGCTCCAGTGATTTTGTGTGTGTGTGTGGCAGAAAGGTGACCGGTTTCTCCACCATGACGTTGCACCGCGCTGAGTGTTCAGCAGTTTTTGACCAAAAACAGCATGGCCCCCATGTCCCACCCTCCCTATTCACCGATCTCACCCCAGCAACATTTTTTTGTTTCCCTGGATGAAAGCCCTCAAAGGGAAAAGTTTTGCCCATGTGGAAAAAGTGAAACAAAAAACAGCAGAAGCCCTAAAAGGCATCCAAATTGATGAGTTCAAAAACTGTTCTGAGCAATGGAAGAAGCGCTTTGATAGGTGTATAGCATCAAACAGAGAGTACTTTGAAGGTGAGTGTAAACAAATAAGAATACACAATTTTTATAAACTCTGTATTTTGGGGGTCCTCTCTTGTATATCACTGTGTGGTACATACAAAGAATTGTGTCCTAAATAATTTATTCGCTACTTTCTTTTATTAGATAAACATGCAGTAATGAGCCTAAGGCCTTAGTTAACCCAGTTCCTTTTTCAATATTTACCTTAATAGTCTCTTTATACAGTAAGTTGTAAGAAAAGTTGGTTAAACTAAAGGAGTGGTGATCACCCAGTGGTGAGGCCCTGGACTTTGTATAACTTTCCCATGTGCTCTGAGAGTGGTGTGGAGGGGCCAGAGGTCAGGTGACCACTGTGCCTTAGCAGAACCTGAGCCAAGGAGCCAACCAGAGCAGCAGGTTTTAACTTCTGCAGGTGGAACTGCCTGACCTTTGTGCCACAATTACCTGTTTTGTTTTTCAGATCTTCTTGGAGAAAACATTTATCTGGTCTTGTTTACCGTAGCTTTACGAATATTTAACTGCTTTTTAGTGCAGACGAGCTTTGTTCCAGATGAATACTGGCAGTCTCTTGAAGTTGCACATCACATGGTTTTCAAATATCCTTTGTAGTTTCTTTTCCAGACTATGAACATGTATTCATCTTAGGATTTGTTTTGAGCATCTATTACAGCAGTCCCCCTATCTGCAAGGGGTTCCAAGACCTCCAATGGATTCCTGAAATCCCAGATAGTATCCCAGATACCCCTGAAATCCCAGATAAGTACCAAACCCTGTGTTTTCCCCTGTACATACATGCCTGTAATAAAGGTTAATTTATAAATTAGCCCAGTAAGAGATAAGGAACAATAATAAAATAGAAAATTTTTGTTTTGTATTTAGATTAGAAAATATAGTTTATTTAGAAAGTAAATTGGAGAGAGAGAAAGAAGGGGTTCACCTCCCCAAGTGAAGGGACCAAAGCTTAAGAAAACATGGCCTGGCCATAGCTCAGAGAGCACATAGCCACATCATCTCTTAGCAAGGGAATGGAAAAAGTAGAAAATTTTTAACAATATACTGTATAAAAATTATGTGAATATTGCTACTTTCTCTCTCCTTCCCTCCCTCTTTCCCTCTGTCTCTCAAAATATCTTAATATTTTCAGACAGCAGTTTACCAAGGGCAACTGAAACCACAGAAAATGAAACCTTGTTTAAGGGGGAACTACTATATATATTTTCAATTTTCTCCAAATAATTTTAATCCATCAAAGTATGCCATTATTTTATACTAATTTTCTTCTATATCTTTCTTTGATGTTAGTCTTTAACTAGCATATATTCCCACAGTACTAAGTATTTGGAAGCTACAGAGGAAGGAAAAAACACATTACTGCCTTGAAGAAGTTAAGAATTCAGTTGTCCTATTGAATTTTTAATGCAAATATCCAGTATAAAATAAAATTCTGTGTTTTAAAACTTCATTGTCAAAAGTAAAATAAAATATTGTTTCACATTTGACGGTGAAAACAGACTTTGCCGGGTATGGTGGTGCATGCCTATAATCCCAGCTACTCGGGAGGCTGGGGAGAGAGGATTGCTTGAGCCCAGGAGTTTAAGACCAGCCTGGGCAACATAGTAACACTCCTGTCTCAAAAAAAAGTAAATAGGCTGGCTTCAATGTTATTTGACAGTTAGTCCTTAATCTTACTAATTATGGTTATTTGACCTGGGAATGGACAGAAAGATTGAGAGGTTACACTTACCCCTTAATCTTTGCAAGCATTTACAAGATTCTGCATCTTTTGGGGAAAGACAGTGTTCAGTTGCTGGTAAGTTTAAATAAAGGTAACCAAAATAGTTGTTAAAAGTCGATTTATTCCTTTTCTCCTTCAGAAGTTAATGTATATTAACTAAATGATATTGGTAGCATGAAATTTGTTTTTAAAAGGCTACTATTGCTAAAGTCTAGCCATATTTGGGAAGTCTGAGGTACTAAACACATACTGTGAGGTTTAACTCTTTAAAATATGCTAAAACACAAGACCGAACATGAAAATGTCCTGCTGTGTAGAATCCTGTTAGGATGTGCAAAATGGCTTTATTAAATATTATTTCAACTTTAGAAGCAAACTTCCTTCTGAAAAGAATCACTTGAAAGCAATATTGTGTTTTGTTTTTTATTTTATTTTTAGAGGAAGAGTCTTTGCTATATTGCCCAGGTTGGTCTTGAACTCCTGGCCACAAGCAGTCTTCATGTCTTGGCCTCCCAAAGTGCTGGGATTACAGGTGTGAGCCACCGAACTTAAGCTGTGTTTTGTTTTTTTAACTTGTGACTGGAAGGCCATATTATATGAGCTTATGAAAACTAAATACTTTTAAACCAACTAAGGATTTAGTGTTGAAATTACAACTTTAAAAAAACTAATTTCACAGAAATATAATGATACATATAAATTGTGCTAATGTATTAACTGGGCATCAATAATAAGTAGGATTATAATTCTTAGATCATGAATTACTGGGGTCCTTTGCTGGGAGAGGTTACAAAGAGCCTCACTTGCAAGATTTTTGTGTGTGTGTGTGTTTTGTTTTTTGAGTGGTAGTTTCACCGTGTCACCCAGGCTGGAGTGCAATGGCATGCTCACGGTTACCGCAGCCTCGACCTACTGTGCTCTGGCCATCCTTCCGCCTCAGCCTTCCAAGCAGCTGGAACTACAGGTGCGCACTACCACACCCAGCTAATCTTTTGATTTATTGTAGAGGAGAGGTCTCGCCAAGTTGCCTAGGCTGATCTCGAACTCCTGGACTCAGGTAATCCTCTTGCCTCAGCCTCCCAAAGTCCTGGGATTACAGGCTTGAGCCACCGTGCCCAACCTTCTCAAGATCGTCTAAACTATCAAGTTGGACTAAGAAGTTTGGGCCTTCCACATTTTCTGTTAGGGAAGGCTAGTGGCCCACTATTTCAAAGAAAGTCCAAATTATGAAGTGTTTTGTGGAGCCTAGAAAGACACTGAGATTCTGGGGTATTTGTTTTAAGGCAGGATTGTACTCTCTCCTTTGCACAATAATATTTGATTCTCCATTATTAAAAATGGGAGTCAGACCAGTGAAATTGATGTTTTGCATAGGAAGAGCAAGTGGGAGGAGAATTGAGAACAATCACAGAGTTTCTCCCATTGACACAGTAGAATTTAGAAGCTGTGAACTCACTTTTCTTCTCTCAGAATTACCCACTAGTTTATAGAATATGCAGGGTATCCATAAAGTCTGGAACCATAGGAAAATATATATAATCTCATCAAAGACATTTTATATCCCAGGAAGCAGGTTAGATTATGAATGAAGAGGTCTTCA